TTCATATTTTAAATTAGTAAAATTCATTGATACTTTTTAAAAACAATTTTTTACAAAACTGATTTACAAAATTCTTCATCTCTTATCGATATAAATATGCAATACCGTCGAATTTCGTTAAAGAATTGAAAAGAATTTTTAATCCGTGAAAAAGTATAGTTTACATTCCCCGCCCAAAACACATGATACAGTTAGTTTTAAGTATTCTTTTTCGATCCTCTTTTGGATAATGGAATATTTTTGGTCATACGAGTTACAAAGAATTGTAATCTATTTATTTGATATCGTAGCTATTTCGATTAATGCGTTATTTCAAAAAAAAAAATTCTTTTTATAACATACAAATTCGTATCTAAGCGGTGGGGTTTGTTTTTTTGTGAACGCTTCTATGGCTAAGTTTAAAATTTTTCATCGGACTTTTACATTATTAAAGAAAATTTTAATTATTAAAACGCAAAAAATTTGAATATGTCTAGCGCTCGAAATGCGACGCGAATTCCGATTTGAAATGATCATTTCGGCATTAGGGCTACAGGGCTACAAACATCACCAATAATGTTCCACCTTTTTTTGTTGCACAACCAAAAATCGAAACTTCTCTCGGAATGATAAGTAGTATATATAGGGCAGTTTTTTGAATGCCTTAAACGAAATTTTCATAGTAATCATGAATCAACTTAAAAATGACACATCAAGTCAGCAAATACAAACCGAGGATAAATTAAAGCCTAAATATAAATTTGAAAAATGCATTGAATGTAAAAAAAGAAGAAAACCCTCTGAAGAAAATAATAAGCTTTGCCGTATTTGTTATAAAGTAAACCCAATAAACTTTAATTTAAGCGGAAACAAAATTATTGACGATTTTATCAAATATACTCTTATTACTTTTAATAGTAACGATATAGGTAGAATAGGTAGAATGGAGTTTGTTCCATATGATCAATTCAAAAATATAGAATTTATTGGTGAGGGAGGATTTAGTAAAGTTTATAAAGCTATTTGGATTGATGGTCCAATTATAAGGTGGAATTACAAAGAAAAAAAATATAATCGGAAACTAAATATTCAAGTTGCTCTTAAGAAACTTAACAATTCTAAAAATTTTGCTTCTAAGGAGTTAAACGAGGTATATATATATATTTCTTTTTTTTTTTTTATTAATTTTACTAAGTTAATAATCTTATTGTTTTAGCTTAAAATATCTTATCAATTAAGAAATGATTATTCTAAAACTATTTCGTATTATGGAATTACGCAAGATACTAATACTAAAGAATTTGTGATAATTATGGAATATTGTAATAAAGGAGATCTATCCCATTATATAGCTAAAGATTTTTTTAATGTTAATTGGAATAAAAAGTTATGGCATTTATATGATATTGCAGATGGCCTATTAAATATTCATGGCAATGGTATTATCCACCGTGATTTTCATAGTGGAAATATTTTGATGGAACAATATATTTATAATCAAGGTCTTTCTATTAAAATAGGTGATTTAGGATTAAGTAAATCAGCTACTGAAGCTGACGATAATGAAATTTATGGAATTATTTCTTATATGGCCCCAGAGGTTCTTCAAGGGCAAAAATACACCACAGCTTCAGATATTTATAGTTTTGGTATGATTATGTGGGAGTATATGACAGGTAGAAGACCTTTTTGGGATCGTGCTCATGATACTGAGCTGATTATTGATATTTGTGACGGGTTACGTCCTCCAACAGGTGTTATAGTAGCACCTAAAGGTTTTATTGAGTTGATGAAAGAATGCTGGGATCCTGATCAAAGTAAAAGGCCAGCAGCTGGGAGTATTTATGATAGTATTTCTAGAATTAGTGGCTTTATATATCGAATAGATATTGTAGAATCATCAGAAATTGGACCTATAACAACAAACAATCCAGGCGCTATTTATAAGAGTAGATCTTTAAGTAGCATGATAAACTCCGCAAGAAGTTTACGAGGTCTATCCATTTCTTCGGATTTTGGTAATTAAAATCAAAATTGTTATTTTACAACCAGTTAAATAACACATTTCGAATATGCTAAAATTATTAATAACCTTTTTCCTTTTTTAAAAAAAGGTAAACGAAAATTTGAAAGCGATATATTTGAAAGTAATGCTGGTATGATATTTTCAATAAATTTATATGATTCAAAAAAATAATTTAATAATTGAATGTATCTGTATGATTTTATAGATAACGGCAAATCATTGGAAGATGAATCTTATAAAACAAGAACATTGGAATATGATATTTAATTTGGATTATATTAGTACAAATGCCTAATATGAAGCAATGCAATATAACTATTCTTTGATTTTTTTAACCTTTCTTATTATTAATCATATTGGCGAAAAAAAGTTGTAAAAAAAATTCTTTAAAATATTTATTGTATACTTATCTACCATATTTATTATATTTATTAAATAAACCGATTTTTTTTTATTCATTATAAACTTATTTGAAACATTTATTTTTAGAAATATGCGGCATATTATTTTTTTTTTTTATAAAAAAATCTACCATAAATTACGTGATTTTTTTAATTTTTAATGTTTAACTTTTTGTTTTACTGCGATAAAGACCTATTAATTTTTTTTTGATGGAGGATCTGATATTAATTTTTGGGGTTCTTTTAATTAATTAATAACTTTTTTTTCTGATTATTCACTTGGCAAATATAAAAGCTATGGTTTGCTGTGTTTATAATCCTAGTTATAATATAAAAATAAAAATGAAATAATTTATAAATAATAAGGAAATACAATAAAATCAACTATTACTGTCTCATCCGGCGCTCTGTAATAGGCATTTGAGAAAAGAATGTTTCTAATTCTATCCTATTCAATTCTATCGAAAATCGAAGCATTTTTATATCTAATTTTACTTCCCATGGCTTTGCTACGAATCATTTAAAATATCAATTGAATTGCGGCTAAATGACGGATAGAGAATTTATTTCAAAAATGGTCATTTACATATAATTTTCATCAGTCCATTAGGTTCGAATGAAAGGTCAATTTCAACAGATCAATTTTGGCGCAGAGGCCGAGAGTAACAACACAAACAAAATGATATTGTAACGATAACAATATATAAGAACTTCAGAAAAAATATTTCAATGAACCAAGTTCTAAAAATAGCAATCGAAAGATCAAATGAAGTTGTAGATGAAAAACTTTCCCGGTAATACTACAAACTCTCATATTCATTGGTATACATCCCATTGCGATTTCTTATATGATCGCTTGGTCATAAGGAAAGTTAGTAATGATAATATATCCTGTTTTATAGGGGCGTAAATTTGATCGATGAAATTCTAATGGAAAATTTAAATCATGTGACAAATGTAGTTAGTTAAAGGGCTTCAAATTCTTCCAGCTTCACAACTTGTAATTTCCTTATGTAACTTGCCAATTTCTCTGCCGGTTTTGTGTTCAAAAATTTTTTCCTTATGGTACTAAGGCATTTCATCAAAATATCTGTAATGTTCCAATTCGCAAGTTAGTCCTTGGGTTTTTCCTATTATGAGGATCACCTCCTTCCTACAAAGGATGATTTTTGAGTTTTAAAGAAGGAAAAAAAACATCCCTAAAAATTGATACGAAACCATTTTGGCATTCTCTTGGATCAAAAAATCCATTCCTAAAAAAGGTTTTTGATTATTTAAGTGATTAATTTCGCGTAAAAATTGTCTAAAAAAGCATTTACCTTTGAAGATAACGGTCTTTGTTGAACGAGTCAATTTTCTTTATAATTTTTAACAATTGCATACTAGTAAAAAAAATGACCATTATTTGGTTCCGTTAGTTCTTCGGTCAGTGCCAAGCAAATTTCATCAAAGTACATCGATTTAGCGTTAACTTCATGTTAACAGTTAAACCCTTGAACCGTAAGAGCAAGATCAGTAAATTTTAGAAAAAAAAAAATACTTATTCATTTGTCAAATTGTGATTATTTTGTCCTTGGAATGAAATAATTTACTGCAGTATTAAACTTGCTTTTAATATATCATTGATGCGAAAGGAAGTTGTAAAGTATGATGCAACAATAATTAGTATTAGCTGTTTCGTATGACCAAAAATTTCATATATAAATATAATTAAGGAAGAATTAGGATAAGTTTCAACATCAACCTCAGCTAGACAAATCATTGAACACAAATCAGAAGATGATAAATATAAAAGGATTTTTATTCTACATTTGTATCTTGAAGATATGTAAAAATCATCTTAAATATAACATAAAATCTTTCTAACTAGGAAACGAAAACCGTTATGAGTCCGAAGCACATGGGTGAACATGATCTGTCCAATTTCCCATCAGAATTGACGTGTGCGGATAACCGGAAATCGTCACGTGATCTAATTTGAGACCACTATTGCTTTTGTGTAATGTTATACAAATAAATTATTTTATGAATTGGAGGACTATTAAATAACGGCTACTAGCAATTCTACCCGGGCGATGCCCCGGGGTTCGCCAACGTAACGTGAAAATTCAAATTAATTTCAAATTTATTTAGTAAAATATAAATAAATATAAAATTAAAATTAAAAATCATATATGACTTTATTAATATAGATTAATAAACCAACCTAACCCTAACCCTAACCCTAACGCATTGGGGTGGGGTTTATTAATAAACCAACCTAACCTTAATCTAACCTTAACTCATTGTGATTGATTAATAAACCAACCTAGCCCTAATCTAACCCTAACTCATTGTGATTGATTAATAAACCAACCTAACCCTAAATTAACCCTAACTCGTTAGGGTTGATGAATAAATTAACCTAATCTAATCCTAACCTAATCCTAATTCTAACTCTAACTCTAATCACGAATCCTAATTCAAAACACTAATCATAACTCTAAATCTAACTCATTAGCTAAACTCTTAATTTAATAAATAGTTTACAAATAAGGATGTATGAATTGATCTGGATTTTGCTATTTCGTGGCAAAATCCTAATCAATTCATATATGACTTATTTTGTAACTGTAAAATAATTTATCCCCTTAATGATTTTGCAGGCAAATTTGCTTGCAATTTTGAAAATTAATAGTTAATCGCCAAAAAAAGGATTATCTGACATCTGAGCCAATCATTTATTAATATAAATTAGTTATTTTTGTCAAAATCTATTAATCTATTAATAATATT